ATACATACACTGTAAATGAGACTATGACAGCAACAACTGGAGAGTTAAGAGAATACACCTCATCTAGCACAAGGAAATGAAGAAGTAAAGCTTTAAACAGATCTGTAAACTCTTCACCCCCTGAAAATAATTCAAACTATAATATCTGTATTTTTAGTTTGTGGTTGTATTTCTCCTGAGACAGCAAAAAGAGTTGTAAAATGAAGTTGAGCTTCACATCACGCTTGATTGGACAGACAAAACCATTACAGTAGCATGGTTATGACCTATTTTTCTAACAAGGAAAACCCACTGACAGTCATCTCTGCAGCTTCCTGAGAAAGAAATGCAGGTCACATTACACAGAATGGAATACAGAATCAGGGAGCCCAGAACTGGACCCAGCACTCCAGGTATGGCCCCACTGGTGTTGAGTACAGAGGAAGGATCAACCTCCCTCGATCTGCTGGCAATGCTCCTCCTAACACAGCCCAGGATACCATTAGCCTTTTTGCAGCAGGGGCACATTTCTGGCTCATGTTCAGCTTGCTGTCCACCAGGACCCCCCAAGCCCTTTTTTGCAAGGCTGCCTTCCAGCTGGTCAGACCCCAGCATATCCTGGTACATGGGCTGGTTCCTCCCCAGATGCAGGACTTTGCACTTCCCCTTGTTGAACTGCACAAGGCTCTTCTTTCTCCTGTCTCCACCCTGTCAAGGTCCCACTGAATGGGAGCACAATCCTCTGATGTTCAGCCACTCCTCCCGGATCCTGCCTATGTGTCTCATTCTCCCTGATGCTGTGCAGCCTGCTGACTTCCTCTTTTCACTTGTGTACTTGGTGACAGCTCTTCAGCAGCAGCATACCTCCAGCACAAAGGCTCAGTGAGAGGCCCTAGGCACTCCCCAGCAGCTTGGCACTTACCACAGAATCCCAGACTGCTTTGGGTTGCAAGGGACCTTAAAGCTCCTGCAGTTCCAAACACCTGCCATGGGCAGGACACCTTCCACTAGAAGGGGCATCCACCATGTGAAGCTCTGCCTGGGTTAAGGTGTCTGCCCTGTCAGGGACAGGTGACCCAAAACCTAGGGAGTGGACCCTGTGGCACATCACCACCATACCTGAAGATCTAGGCTGTTCTGAACTCAGATGAGGACCCCTTCTTTGCACCTTCCATACAAATTGCTGCATCTGTTGACTGTCTCTGGGAGCTGTGCTCCAGACCTGGCTGTTACGTAGGGCTCTCCCAACACCAGCTACAAAGGTGTTAGACCATCACTAACCAGCAGCAGCTACATCAAAGACTCTAAGCACCCTTGGATGAGGAGCAGCTCACAGCTCTTCAGAAGCCACTAGAGCTTCTTCTAGCTCCTACCCCAGTTGCTACTTATCTACTTTTTTAATAGAATGAAAATGCATCTGTACACTTCAACAGCTTCAAAATACACCACTCCAAACACCTACCAGCTCTTCAGAAAACTCCGTCATTTTAGTGCTGTTGCTTTCGAGGACAGCAATACACCTGCCAGTTGCTTAGATGTTGGCTCACTCCTGGAAGTAACATTTCTCATGGATTCTCTCCTGGGAGCAAATGCAAACGCAGATGAACACAAAGTAGAGAATACTGTCGCTACAAGTGATACGGGTTCTTTCACAGGTAACTTGTCTTTGGAGACACCTGGATCTACCCAAACAAACACAGAGCCTCTCATTAAATATAATGATATAATTGCAGGTTGAAGGAGGTGATCCTGCCCCTCTGCTCTCATGAGATCTCACTTGGAGTATTGTGTACAGTTCTGGTGTCCTCAACATAAGAAGGCCATGGAACTGTTGGAACAAGCCCAGAGGAGGACACGAGGATGATCAGGGGACTGGAGCACCTCCCATATGAAGATAGGCTGAGAAAGTTGGGGCTGTTCAGCCTGGAGAAGAGAAGCTGCGTGGAGACCTCAGAGCAGCTTCCAGTGTCTGAAGGGGGCCTATAGGGGTGCTGTGGAGGGACTCTTCATTAGGGACTGTAGTGACAGGACAAGGGGTGATGGGTTCAAACTGAAACAGGGGAAGTTCAGGTTAGATCTAAGGAAGAAGTTCTTTACTGTGAGGGTGGTGAGGCACTGGAATAGGTTGCCCAGGAAAGTTGTGAATGCTCCATCCCTGGCAGGGGTGACACAGTTTAGTGTGAGGTGTCCCTGCCCACGGTGGGGGGTTGGAACTGGATGATCTTAAGGTCCCTTCCAACCCTAACTATTCTATGATAAATGTATCATTCAGAGACTAAAAAGCACAAATAGGTATGCAGCATCACAAGCTCCCTATTGACAAGCCTGTTTGATAGACTTAACTATTCATGTTACATCCTGGCTTCAAAGCTGATGGAGACCAGAGCACCAGGCACCATTCACAATCAAACAGACTTCATTCTTCACCTAAAAATCTCCTGCACTACCTCAAGTTCAAGTACCAATTTTAATTATCTTTGTGTGTCTCTAAAAGCTTGAAGAAGATACAACACCACTGTGTATGTGTAGTGCACTTTAGTTCTGACAAAAGGATTCCTTTTGTATTGCAGCAAAATCGATGAATTCTTCCTTTGGCTAAAGAAAATTTTGATTCTGAAATTTCATTTTTGTTACTTTTAAAGCTCCACTACATCCATAAAATTCCTAAACCACAGATACTGACTTGAACATAGCATAAATGTGTGAATCCTAAAGCTCTCCAAGAGACAAGTTACAGTATTTGCTTACCCTGGTGTCAAGGTTTTTAACACAAACTAAACAGGTACAGGAGTGCCTTAACTGCAGCACCCAACATGAATCATTGTACAAGCAGCCACACCACGGAAAGCACTTTGCCAAGTGGTGATGGCACAAGCCACAAGTCTGTCAACTTACTTAAAATAGTACTCTTACTTTGATAGTTCATTTTTCTATAAACCAAAGTTTACAATCAATGCCATCGTTGCCAACCATGACAAAGTTTTATGACCTTACACCTCACAGGATCGTAGAGTAGTTTGGTTGGAAGGAACCTTCAAAGCTCATTTAGTCCAACGCCCTGCAATGAGCAGGGACATTTTCAACTAGGTCAGGTTGCCCAGAACCACATCCAGCCTGGCCTGGAATGTCTAGATGTCATGTATATATGCATTATATAACTTGTTCACACTAACTGAACAAGGGTAAAGTCAGAGATCTCAGTTTCCCCATATATCAGTCTAAGGCTCAATCCAAATTCGCTTAAACTTCTAAAACTATCTATACACAAGTGTCTGCATGTAAGTAGTAAGGAATTAACTTTTCCTTACAGAAGCTCTCCTTGCTCAGTTCCTCTTCTTCAAGCAGTTATTTCCCAATAAAAGCAGAAAACATATGTTGTGGCAGGAATTACAGGCAAAATTTTTCCATTCAAGCCAGCTGACTGGATGAAACCTTCAATCAAGCAATATGGTAAGGCTGCAGTCACTATGTCTGTAAGGTAAAAGCTGGATAAAATCGTTTACGTACTCACAGTTCCAGGCAGCTACTGCTATCTCATTCTGCTGTATGTAACTTCATTCTGTATCCATCCCAACAGGCATGCACCATTGCACGCTACATGCCTCACCAGCATCTCGTGGGAGAGTCAGGATGCTCCCACACGGATTTTTACCTCCTTGTCCCAACTAGCATAACATGTTCCTTGTTGTTATTGCAACAGTTCACCTGCATAGACAATCTTATTTACAAGACAGGACTAATCCTGTTACTAAAGACTTTGGAAACCTGACATTTCAAAACATTTCTTTAAGGCAAATTCTGCCACCATTGTAACAGCACTAATGGACTGACACAAAACAAGGAGCTGGAGTATAACTGATTCCATAGATCAACTTGCCTCTCTCCCCCCCCCAGTTTTGTGCAGACTGCATATGTAAACTATCTACTATAATACTTCATGCCCGCTGTTGAAGCACTAAGGTCAGAAAGTCAGTTCTTCATATTCTTAATGCTTTTCTTTACCAGCTTTGCTCCTTACAAAGTGAATTGTCCAGGTGCTTCAAAATGCAATGATGCCATCTTTGCAAAGATCTGTGATGAGTCATGTATTCAGAGCTCCACAGTGTCTCAACTACATCTACCTAAATCTATCTACTACTATAATGTATGTATAGTCTAACTACTATAGCTTCAGCATATAACCTATTGGTTTGATGCTCTGCAGACTATTTTAACATGCAACGCATCCAGAGGAGCAACAAAATTGCACCTTCAAATGAAACCATTTGGGGGGGGGGGGGAGGGGACAAAAACTAATTTAATCATAAACTACTTGATAAATCAGCAACCAGATGATCAATCTTCTCTAATTGCACAGCTAAGTCAATATCCACAATGGACGAACCCAAAGAGAGGCATGAAACCATTCACCATTCATCTATAAGCTCAAACAAAAGAATGAAAAACCAAGGTGGTCACAACTCTACAAACTTTCCCTCCAGGCACAAAAAGGTACTTTTTTTGCCCAATAGCGTGAATATGAACACAAGAAAGGGACAAACCAAATCAACCCAAATGGTTCAGTTTGTTTTTTCACAAGTCTTCTCTAGAAGCCTAAGCTGCAGAAAATTGATGTCATGCTGTGATGCTGGCACATGGTGCCATCAGACAACAGTGCAATGTGGCAGAGAACATGTTCAAAGAAAGCAAATACTGAAACAGGCCTAAGTTTTCTGCATTGAACAGATCAGAAATCTTAGTTTCTTGCCAGAGAGATCACAAGCAAAAAGTATTTCAGTTTCACCAGTATTTGATAACGTGAAGTGCATGGACAAATTACAAATGCAATTGCTGCCCTTGGTTAAATGCTTCCTTTGTTTTCTATCTGGTCACGAAGACCACCAAATTGCCTGAAGACCAAAGCAGCAAATCACCACCAGATCTCTTGCTTCCCCCAGTTGTAACAGAATCGCACAAATGCTTCAGAGAAGGTGACAGAAATAGCACTTTTATTCAGTACCATTAGCGAATTTTTGACTTACGGAAGTATTTCAAGGTCTCTTCTATTTGCTCAGTTGTTAAGTCAATATTCACATCAGGGGAAATGAGAGGTGTATGAAGCCAGTCGTCGTGGTCATAACCATAGATTGTATCTGCTCTTAGCTTATAATGAGGCAGCTGCTCTTCCAGTAGACTGATGATCTCAACTTCAGGAAGATTGGTACTATTGCACACATCTGGTAAGAGAAAGAGGACAATCTCTGTTAGTTACTTTCAAGTGAGTACTATGCAAGCTAGCAAAGATGTCAGTTTGATTGATAACAGATTTTTCCGCATGTAAAGAACAGCTAGATATTAATCACTTTAGAAGCTGTGACTAGCAGAATTTATCCTCAAATAGCATATTTACTAGCAGAAAACAGAAGGGCATGCTCCTAGGGACAAAAAAAAACAACCTCTGGAAGCAAGGATTCATTTATTGAAGAACAAAGTGGGAGTGGGGTGAAATAGAGAACAAGTGAGCATTGACCAAGACAGGGCATGGAGAAAGGATTAGGGCATATACAAGTTTATCTTTTTGATGTTCTACTTGACTATTCAGCTTCCAAGCATTACGCATTTCCTTAACTAGGTCTTTGACCACAGCTGAGCTTTTGCTTTGCTGCTGGCAGAGTTTTCTCAAGAAATCCAGGATTGCAAGAGGAACAGTGTCACAGTTCACACCTAAAACGCACTGGTAAAGTTGGCTGCAAGAATTTTAAGGCACCTTTTGACACTTATCTCGACCTGCGCACTGTGCTGTCAGTCCTTCAGGGTCACACGTGTATTGAGTTTACACCCAGTTTTAAAAATGGATTCCGACAGTCATCATGGCACAATTAAAATGGAAGATTTCAATGTAGGACAAGAAGCAGCTGCCTAATTTTAACTGAAAATTCCAATGCAGGAAAAAAACAAAAAACCAAATCCACCCCTTTTCTTTACCGTGAAGATGGTTAAACATGGGAACAAGGGCACAGAGAGAGCAGGAAATCTGCCACCTCTAGAAGGATTGACAGCTCCACTAAACAGAGCCATAAGCACTCACTTTAAGATCTGCTTTGAGCAGAAATCCAAACAGATGAGCTCCAGAGGTACCTTCCAACCTGTATTATTCTACGACGAAGATTTTTTGTGTGGGAATACCCAAACCAGCCATAAGAATTTAAATACATACATTTAATTATAATAACAAATTAACTACAATGTCTTGCTAAATAATTATTAACAGACAGAGCAACCCGTGGTATGTTTTCCATAAATACTTAGTGCATCAGTCCGCTCATTTCCAAGGTAGGACAATAGGAAAAGAACACCAAAAATGTCCCCCCATACCACCTATCCACAAACAGGAAATACCTAAGCCTCCTTTGGAACAGCAAGCACTAAGGAAGGCTGCTCACATGCTGTGCAATGCAGCTCCATCTTCAACCAGTTCCGTAACTGGACCCCAGCCAGCACACAGCAGGGCCATTTCAACCCAAGCCCCCTGGTCCTGCCCTGTGCAGTGCTGTAGGACAGGTCTGTCCACTGATGATAGTGACTCATTGTCTGGGCTTCCTGGATTGACTGCAAACCCATTCAGTTCCTGGCATCTGCCTCATGACCACTGGAGAGTAATGTTTATCGGTCCCCTTGCCCTGTTCAGGAATAAAGGGCCTGGGCTCTGGCAACAAGGATCCTGCCCTTCCAATCCTGTGGTCACACTCAGCCCTGCTCTTGTGCTCCCTGACAAAAGACACCTATTTTCATAAGGGAGAAACTCATTATTGCAGGACTGATGCAGACCTGCAATTCCACTGCAAGCTGGTGGAACTTAAACCTCTGTCAGGGGGCAGAAAGGAGAGCGAAATGGGGAAGTAACACATTTCTATAGACCACCCGTTACCTGATGTTTTTATCTTTCTAATCCAGAAACTGCACTGTCATAAACACCATCCTGAGCACTAAACATCCTGAATGTTACTATTCTATCAGACAATAGGGCAGAGGGTACAAAGATGAACTCATACTGTTAATCTCCTGCTTATATCCTTTGAAGATGTTGTTGATTAAAACTAAAATCCACTAAGGGAAGTTGCATTATACCTTATGGTTCAAAGAGTCTGCCATTACCCATCAGCAGGTATTCTCTGGTTTCACCCAGGCTGCTCTGCTAACTGTTGTACATAGTCTGGAGGAGAGCAGACTGAGAGGGAATCTCATCAATGCAGATCAGTATCTCAAAGGTGGGTGCCAGGAGGATGGTGCCAGACTCTTTCCAGTGATGCCCAGGGACAAGACGAGGAGCAATGGCCATAAACTAACACACAACAAGTCTCACCTCAGCATGAGGAAGAACTTCTTTACACTGAGGGTGTCAGAGCACTGAACAGGCTGCACAGGGGGGTGTGAAGTCTCCCTCTCTGGAGACATTCAAACCCTCCTTGACATGTTCCTGTGTGACCTGCTCTGGGTGGCCCTGCCTTGGCAGGGGGTTGGACCGGGTGATCTACAGAGGGGCCTTTCAAGCCCAACCATTCTGTGATATGAAAATGTCCCCTGAACCTCACTGCAGAAGTGGATGTGCAAAAGTCAGTAGGATTAGGTACCCAGATGCGCAGCAAGGCTATTTTTATGGAACTTCATGCAATGTGCACGCATGCCTTGAAGAAGTCCTTGCAGCCCTCTCAGAGGACTACTAACTTACACAGAGAACCAGGACCGGTTTCCTACATTTCGAAAGCTGAGAGCTAACCCGTAAAGACAAACCTTTCCTCCTCCCTGCCTACCTCTTTCACCGCTTGCAACATCCACCCTAGTTCAGAAAAGCCAGGTCATCATCTAACAGCCAGTGTGACATCAACTAAATACTCAAAGACATTTGTGTGTACAAGCATAGACATAAAGGGGTTTTATCTACCTTTGGATGACCCAACTGCTTTCACCGTCAAGAACATGGGTGGGAGTTTTTGTTGGGGTTGTTTTGTGGTTGGGTTTTCTCTGGCTGAAATGTTAGTTCTCCTCTTGTGAAAAGTCTACACAGCCTGGCTGAGGTGGTCTTCTTGGGAACAAGGAAATAAAAATGTCTGGAAAATTCAAACCTTTAGTGTCTTTCTGCTTCTAATTAATATTTTAAATGAAACTGACTGACTTTATAGATGAAAAGAGAACATTTCAGGCAAATAATTCTACAAAGAGAAGTAATCTGGTCTGCTGGATCATAAAAAGTAGCAAAAAAATGGAATGCAAAAGAAGTTACCAATAAAATTTGAGGAGGACAAAAAACACACACATGCACACACACAAAAGAAACTCCTACAGTTTATTGTGGAAAAGAAATCCACTGAAACATGAAGGACAGCCAGTAAAGAAATAAGATTTATTGTGGAATACATGTCAACCTAGCCAATTCCACTCTACAATATAACAAATCCTGAGTTCCTAAGCAATTCAAAAGGCCTAAACAACTGGAAAAGATATTAATGAGTAACTGGAAAGGTAACTTCTCATGATGCTATTGTCATTAACTACTATTGCAATTTAAACCCCTGTATACAGCAGGAAATGGAAGCAGGCTCTGATGTAATTGCCTATTGAGAAAAACAGGCCTCTGTAATTACACTTCTGTATGACTAAATGCCAGTTCACCCTTTAAATCACAGCAATGTTCTCGCTGCTACAATTACATTGCCTTCCCCTTCACTTTTCTGAAATGCAGGCACTTGTTATGAAAAGGTACTCAGACTAAAGCCACCCCACATCCTGAAACACCAGTTATACTGCAGAGAAGACCCTGACTGTGCTTCCAAACACTTTTTATTCATAATAGATATAAATAATAAATAAATAACAAATAAGTAAAATAATAAATAAAAAATAATAAATAGATAATTCTATATATTCCAAACACTATTTCTGATTAAAATTGTAAAGATACTCAACTAAGTCAATTAAATTCTCTACTAAGAATTCCTAGGACATCACCTGTGTTTTATGATTAAGTTAACTGATGTCCAACAGACAAAACTATTGCACTTCCTCTTGTCCTTCATGAGGTGATACCTCCATTTTATTAACCATAAAAGCTTAAGACAATCACTCAACACTAATAAAAATAACACAACAGAATACAGTTGAACCATGTCCTTGTAAGGTGCTCCATTACAGATTTGGGGGTTTGTAGTCTAAGCCATTTTAAACTTGCAGTTTTCTGGGCATCCTCGGACACAGAAACTTCTACAAGCAAACTGCAACCAACTTAAACAGCGAAATGAATGATGAACTCATGGTTCTCCCTAAAATGTTGGTCATTCCAGGTCCTGCTTTTGAGAGGAAGGAGAAGAAAGATTTGCTAAAGCTCTTGCCAATTGCAGAGCTCTGCAGCTTTCAGCACTACACAGAAATGATTACATATAAACTAAGAAAATCTGTTCATTCTTTTCTGCATTATTTTTTATGAGTAACATGTGCCACCGCTTTGCTCTCCTCTTAGCTTAAACGCAGCACATGCAGGGACATTCCATCTCACCTATTTTGGGGCAAAATAGGTCTCCATGCCCTGTTCCTCAGGAAATAAGGAAGTTGCTCTGCAGGAGTGTTTGACATTATTCCTCCTCAGCCTCTCTGTGTTTTGTAAATGAGATTAAACCAAGTTCTTTGAAAGACATCTGTGCTGATGATTTTGTTGCTTCAGTTTCTAATCCTTTCTTTTCGACACAGAAGATGCAAACCTGGGCAGAACACTCCAGCTGAGCTGTCTCTGCATTTTTGATTCTCCTGGATCACTTATTAGCTTGTCCATATCTTTTGACACATTGGCATTTGACTGCTGTGTTTGCCTTTCTCTGAACACCTTAAACCACTCTACCACCTCTCTCTCAGTTTAAGACAGCCACTAAAGTCGCACTGGTTGTTTGAGCTTGCTTGCATTACCTAGGAGGAATTTTTATTCCACTTGATGCTCTGGATTTCATCAGTTCCCCTTTCCTCTAGCCAACACCTCTGTCCATACAAAAAGCACTAAACACGGTAAGTTGACTTTTCAGTGTAGCGACTGAAGTGAGGGTGGCTATTTTACTCTACTTTTATTTTTTGGGCAGGGAGGAAGAGGCATAATTTCAGGACAACCACATGAAGCCAAGAGAACCCTTGGGTATTTTCACATGTACGCTTACAGCCCTTCTCTGCTGACAAGTGAGCAGGCAGTTGATCTAAC